GCCTCAGCAAATTCAGGAAAACTGAAATAATACCAAACTTTTTCTCGGACCACAAGGGCTTGAAACTGGAAATCAACCTCAAAGAGAAACTTCAAAAGCTTGCAAACTCATGGAGACTGAACAGTAGACTATTAAACAAAGAAGGGGTCAATAATGAGATAAGAGAAGACATCAAAAAATTTCTGGAAACAAATGAAAATGAACATACAACAGTCCAAAACCTAGGGGACACAGCAAAGGCAGTCCTCAGAGGGAAGTTCATAGCAACACAGGCTTACCTAAAAAAAGATAGAAACATTTCAAAGAAGAGACCTAACACTACAACTTCCAGAACTGGAGAAACAACAACAAATACATCCCAGAGCAAGTAGAAGAAAGCAAATAGTCAAGAGTAGAGCAGAACTGAATGACATAGAGACAAAAAGAACAATTCAAAGGATCAAACAATCCAGAAGCTGGTTCTTTGAAAAGATAAATAAGATTGAGAAGCCTTTACGCAGACTCATCAAGAAAAAAAAGGAGAACTCAAATAAATAGTATCAGAAATGAAAGAAGAGAAATAACAACTGATACCACAGAAATACAAAGGATTGTCAGAAACTAGCATGAACAACTATATGCCAAGAAATTTGAAAACCTTGATGAAATGGACAAATTTCTAGAAAAGTGTAATCTTCCAACACTGGAGGAGGAAGAAACAAAAAGCCTGACAGACCGATAACAGCTGGGGAAATTGAAGCAGTCATCAAGAAACTCCCGGCACACAAAAGCCCAGGGCCAGATGGTTTCACAGGAGAATTTTACAAAACATTTAAGGAAGAGATAACCCCTGTCCTTCTCAGACTATTCCAAAAAAATCCAGGAGGAGGGAAGACTCCCAGACTCTTTTTATGATGCCACATCACCCTGATCCCAAAACCAGATAAAGACCCTACAAAGAAAGAAAACTACAGGTCAATTTCGTTGACGAACACAGATGCTAAAATTCTCAACAAAATATTGGCAAACCGCATCCAGCAATACAATAAAACGATTATCCACCACGATCAAGTGGGATTCATCCCAGGCATGCAGGGATGGTTCAATATACGCAAGTCAATAAACGTAATACATCACATAAATAAAAGACAAGACAAAAACCACACGATGATCTCGATAGATGCAGAAAAACCATTCGATAAGGTACAGCACCCATTTATGATCAAAACACTCAGCAAAATGGGAATAAATGGGGCATTCCTCAACGTAATAAAAGCCATATATGAAAAACCTACAGCCAACATCATACTCAACGGGCAAAAACCGAAAGCTTTCCCACTAAGATTGGGAACACAACAAGGATGTCCGCTTTCACCGCTTCTTTTCAACATCGTATTGGGAGTCCTAGCCACAGCGGTCAGACAAGAAAAAGACATAAAAGGCATCCAAGTAGGAAAGGAGGAAGTAAAGCCATCATTGTTTGCAGATGATATGATAGTGTACACAGAGAACCCTGTAGACTCCACCAAAAATCTCCTCAGCCTAATATGTGAATTTGGCAAAACAGCAGGATACAAAGTCAACATTCAGAAATCAAAGGCATTTTTGTACACCAGCAATGAAATAGAAGGAGAAATCAGAAAAAAAAAATACCATTCAATATAGCAAGAAGAAAAATAAAGTGCCTAGGAATAAATTAAACCAAAGAGGTAAAAGACCTGTATGCAGAAAACTATACAACATTGAAGAAAGAAATTAAGGAAGACACAAATAAATGGAAGCATATACCATGCTCATGGGTTGGAAGAATTAATATCATCAAAATGTCCATACTACCAAAAGCAGTTTATAGATTCAACACAATCCCTATTAAGATACCAATGACATATTTCACAGAAATAGAACAGACACTTCAAAAATTTATATGGAACCATAAACGACCCCCGAATAGCCGCAGCAATTTTGAGAAAGAAAAATAAAGTAGGAGGGATCACAATACCGGACATCAAACTCTACTACAAAGCCACTATACTCAAAACAATCTGGTACTGGCACTAGAACAGACCCATAGACGCCGAGAAATAAGCCCAGATCTATAGGAGCATCTAATATTGGACAAAGAAAGGGGGAAGAAGCATAAAATGGAGCAATAATAGCCTCTTCAACAAATGGTGTTGGGAGAGCTGGACAGCTACATGCAAAAAATTGAAATTGGATCATCAGCTGACACCATACACAGAAATAAACTCAAGATGAATAAAAGACTTAAATATAAGTTGTAACACCGTAAAAGTCCTAGAGGAGAACATTGGCAGGAAACTCAGATATCCCACGCAGCAATTTTTTCACTGATATGTCTCCTAAAGCAAGGGACATAAAGGAAAGGATAAACAAGTGGGACCTCATCAAAATAAGACGCTTCTGCACAGCTAAAGAAAACATCAGCAAAATGAAAAAGGAGGCAACCGTATGGGAAAATATATTTGCTAATGATACATCAGATAGAGGTTTGATCTCCAAGATATATAAAGAACTCTCTCGCCTCCACTCCAAGAAGACAAACGATCCAATCAAAAAATGGGCAAAGGACCTGGGCAGACGCTTTTCCAAGGAGGAGATACAGAGGGCCCAGAGACATTTGAAAGGATGCTCGGCATCACTAGCCATCAGAGAAATGCAGATCAAATCCACAATGAGGTACCTCCTCATTGTGGTCAGAATGGCCATCATAAAGAGATCAAGAAAAAACGGGTGCTGGCGAGGCTGTGGAGAAAAGGGAACCCTAATACACTGTTGGTGGGAATGCAGACTGGTGCAGCCACTGTGGAAAGCAGTGTGGAATTTCCTCAAAAAGCTGAAAAGGGAACTGCCTTTTGATCCAGTGATTCCTCTGCTGGGACTACACCCTAAGAATCCCAAAACGCCAATTCAAAAGAACCTATGCACCCCAATGTTCATAGCAGCACAATTTACAATAGCCAAGTGTTCGAAGCAACCGAAATGCCTATCAGTAGGTGGTTGGATAAAAAAACAATGGCACATTTTCACAATGGAATACTACGCAGCAGAAAGAAGAAAGAACTACTACACTTCACGAGAGCATGGATGGAAGATGGAACTGGAGAACATTATGCTAAGCGAAATAAGCCAGGGGGCGGAAGGCAAATACCATATGGTCTCACCTATAAGCAGAACCTAACCAACAATACAAAGATGCAAGGAAAATAAGACCAGTAATACTGAAAGGAGAAGAAACCAACAGAGACAAGAGGGAGGGAGGGAGCGGGGGGTGGGGAAAAAGAAGGGAAGGGGAAAGTCAAGGAACGTATAGCAAGGACTCATGGGCAAAACTAAAGGGGACGAGTTGAGGGAGTGTGGGAAGGAGGGAGGGGGCTAGGGAAAGTGGTGGGGGGTAGGCAGAGACAATTGTATTTGAAAAAATAAAATTCTAAAAAAATAAAATAAAAAACAGTTAAAAAAGAAATCCTTTCAGTTTTCTCATAATACTTTGCAGATTCTGAGAATTTGTTTTTATTCAAAGTTGCCACTGTTTCTTAATGCTTTTACTTTTGTTTTGAATTCTCTAAGTTCCAAAGAAAAGATCCTAAAAAGTATGTTGAAACACTACAGTATCTGAGTTATTACACTATTCTTAGTTGACTGAAATTTCACCATATGTTTTCTTGGTGCTCTAATGCTGCAACTGACTAATAGGATGCAGAGGAGATGAGTAGGGGAAAGGAAGGGCATGTAGAAGGGATGAAAGAAAGGAGGAAGAGAGGAGGAGAGGAAAGGAGGAAGTAGGGGACAAATTCTAGATATAGATGTATGGTAGTCCGCCCTTATTTGTGGTTTTGGTTTTTGTGGCTTTAATTACCCATGATCAACCATGGTCTAAAAATATTAAATGGAAAATTTCAGAAATAAATAACTCATAAATTTTAATTTGTGCACTGTTCTGAGAGTAATGAAATCAAATCTCATGTTGTTCTGTTCTATACCACCTGGAATGTGAACTGTCCTTTGTTCAATGTATCCACACTGCACACACCCCATGCCTATTAATCACTTATTAGCCATATAGGTCATCAGATTGGTTGTGGTTGTATCCCAGTGCTTTTATTCATGTATCCTTTATATTACTTAATAATGGCCCCAAAGTACAAATGTAATGATGCTGGCAATTTGGATATCCCAAAGGAAAGTCATAAAGTGCTTTCTTTAAGTGAAAAAGTGCAAGTTCTTTACTTAATAAGGAAAGAAAAAAATCATATGTTGAAGTTGCTAAAATCTATGGCAAGAATGAATCTTCTATTCATAATTGTGAAAAAATCCATGCTAGTTTGGCTGTCTGATTTCAAACTGCAAAAGTTACAGGTACAGTGTATTATGAATGCTTAGTTAAAATGGAAAAAGCATTAAATTTGTGGGAAAAAAGACATAAACTGAAAACCTAGATTCCATAAATTTTCACTTAACATCCTCCATAGGTTCTTGTAACTTCAGCTAAGCAACATTTAATGAAACAAATTTTACCATAAACTAACTGATATAAACAAGAATTAAGTTTCTACAGCATCTCATTAACATTATAAGGAAACAATGTTGACTGAAACAAAGTTATTTGAGGACCTGCTGTGTGTGCCTGTGTGTGTGTGCACACACAGGTTTGGTATTATCTCAGGTTTCAGGCCTGAATATATTGCCCACGTTGAGGAGCACTACTGTTTATAATCATTCCAATCCAGGAGTAGGTAATCTTAAGATTTCTCCATATTGATGAGATTCATTGAAAGCCTTCATTTAAAGTCTATAAATGACATGGTGATAATAGGCTAAAGATGTAAGAGTTTGAACTATATTAACAGAAACTGTGTTTTATTTTGTCATAATATCTATTTAATACTGAATTGGAGAATTTCATTTTGGCCAAATGCATTCAGATTTTTTAAAGTATGGTCTTTAAAAAAAATAAATGGTCTTTATGAAACAAAGGTGATAGCCTTATCTTCACTTTTCAGATAAAAGTGCACATGGATACATAGCTGCCCATGCTTCGGTAAGTGAAAAATTGAAAACAGTTTTATGTAATCAGTGTTTCTGGTAGTCCAACAGAATACAATTGTGCAGATCTAGGTTTTACGTATAGAGGCTTTAAAAAATGGTTTTTAAAAGTATAATTTAGATACATACTGTATGATTTTAGGTATATGAGTTACCTATAATAGTCAAAATCATAGAGACAGAAAGTGGTTGCTGAGAAGGCAGAAGTGGGGAGTTATTGTTTACTGGGTAAAGAATTTTAGTGTTGCAAGATGAAAAGAGTTCTGGAGTGGGTTGCACAACAATGTGAATACATTTGACACTTCTGAACTGTACACTTAAATCTAGTTAAGATGCTAAATTTTATGTTATGTATGTTTTACCACAATTAAAAATAAAATTTAAAAAGAAATTAAGGTCTTGAATGTAGGTGTTTAGTCTTATTTCTCCTCTTACAAGCTGAGTGAGTTTGGGGAGATGGCTTAGCTCCTCTGAGCCTTTCTTTCCTCAGCTTTAACTGGGTAAAACAGTAAATACCTCCTAAAACTTGCGTGAATATTGAATGTGATAATGCATGTAATATACTTAGTACATTACCTAGCACATGTTATGTTTATTAATTGTAAGTTACTATTACTATTATTTTTAGATGGCAACAAGAGGAAAAATTTACTCTCTCCATACATAAGGCTTGTGTGAGGTAATGGTACTTGTGCCTTGCTCAGATTACACAAAAGAGAACAGAATTCTCACTGGTCATTTCCTCTTGTCCTTTTTCTTTGCCAAAACAGCTCATTGGGCCACACTGAAAACAGCACATGAAGGGAAGTAATAGGATAGTCAGAAGGACGAAAATGCCAACATTCCATGATCAATGCATACCTTATGTCCCTTGATTTAATTAATATCATAATTGTGTGATACTGACTGGGTATTCTGGCAAATAGTTTTTATATTTTGGGTAGGTCAGTTATTTTAAATACCAATCTTCTAGGATGGTCTGTGCATTGATTTTTATTTTGTAAAGAGTTTATGTCTTCTAAGATATTGGACTTTTTTGAGCACGCTTCTATTGGTTTTGCTTGTCAAATTAAAACTAATCTGGATAATGACCAAAATATTCTATCAAATTAGGAAAATATGATGATCTCACTATTTGAAGATAAAACCACAGGATATTCACTTATTAAATATATATTATTCAAGCGCTTCCTTAAAGTCACTAGGAAATTTGGAGCACATGGACATAAACAAGCTCAATACAATATGGATCATGTTACATACCATAAATATGTTCATTTGCTATGAGAATTCAGAGGAAAGAGACTATTATTAGCTAGGGAAGTTAAAGGAAGTAGGCCCTCCCCCAAAGAGATTGAACTCAGTGCCTGATACAAAATAGTGTTTGGTACATATTTATCCAAGGTTGAGTTAGAAAATGGCTTCTATAAAACAGGGCATTTGAGCTAGACCTTGAGGGTCTAAAGGATTTGGATCTGTGAAGATGGAAAAGGGCATTCCAAGCAAAAGGAAAAGCATGAAAAAGGACATGGCAGTGAGGAAAGCAAGCAGAGAAAGGGGCGTAGGTTTGAATGAAGACTGAGATGCAAGAAAGGAAATTGTAGGAATTAAGCCCTGAAAGTTAAGTTGGAGTCAAATCATGGAGACCCTTAAATGCTATTCTAAGGAATCTGGCTTTCTTCAGTGTGTAGTGGAAAGTTCTTGAAATTTTTTAGAAGAGGAGTGTTAGATGATTAAAGCTTATGCTTTGAGAAGAGTAGTCTGACAGCAAAGTCCAGAATACATTGACAGAAGGTGAGACTGGATGAAAGGAGAGGAGCTGGGGGAGTATTGCAAGCCTCCAAGCCAGAGGTAATGAGGCCATAAGTGAGATAGTGGAGACAGGACTGGAGATTACAATCAAATTCCCAAGATGTTTAGGTTATTGATTGGATGTTGGAGAAGCGGTGATTTCCCCAAAGATGATTACAGGCTTAGAATCCTATGTGGTTGGCCAGAAAGATGGGGATGTCATTTTTTGGGAGTTGCAAATTTTTGTGAGAAGATGATGAGTTTCCTCTTAGATGGGTTGAGTCTGAAGGGCTGGCAGGACTTCCAGATGGAGATAATTGATTACACTGCTTGACTAAGGTTGGATTTCTTTTTTATTATCTCTAAATAGTAATATTTATTGGTGAAATTTGGTTTTCCCCCTCCCTTTCTATTTTTTGTTTTCTGTATTTTTTACAATATTATAATTTTTTGTTTCCTTTTTTATTGTTGTTCAAGTACAGTTGTTTCCATTTTCCCCCACTGCTCTCCCCCTCCCACCCACTCCCATCTCCCATCCTCAACCCTATCCCCCTTTGGCTTTGTCCATGGGTCCTTTATACATGTTCCTTGATGACCCCCTTCTTTTCCCTGCTATCCCCTTTCCACTCCTTTATTTAATGAACTCAATTAGACCCTTAAGTTCAGGCTGGAACACCTCAGTGGTACTCAGTTACTGAGGAATGGAGAATCGCACCTTGTGTTCTTATGGTTCTATGAGGAGATTTCACACTGTTGTTGTTGTTGTTATTTTGCATTAGAAAACTTCCAGTGGTCCTTGCTATCCTACAGGACCTACAGGACATGATTGAATGGAATTGACAACCCCTTATAGACATAGCCTGAAATGGTCACAAGTTTTGGCATCTTGTAGTAGCCATGCTACTAGAGAGGGAATTAGAAAAGAAGCAATGTTTTAGTCACCAAATGTTTTTAAATACTGTCTATATAATTAATATTGAATTCAGCAATACCTCCTATAGTCATATGACATCTGCTTTACAGCTCACTCATGATAGCTTCTTTGATATTAGTGTATTTATATGCTAAATATATATAAAAGTCCATGCTATTCATGGACTTTTCAATTTGAGGCTTTTTAAATATTTTATAATTTTATTGTACTATGGAGAGTGGAGTAATGCATTTAGAATCTTGGGCTAGTATTGCAAGTAGAAGGCAATGGCAAAAATATGAATATGCCATGATTTGTTCCTAGAGAATCTAGATGCATAGTCGACAGATACTGCTTTTGATTTTCAGTACTGGTTAACTTTGTCCATCTAGATTACTGGTTATCTTACTTTGCTTTGCATCAAAATTGCCTGGAGAGGCTCTTAAAATGCAGAATCCAATATTCTATTTCAAGAGTAGGTCTTAAATGGAACTTTGATATCTGAATTTCAAACAAGAACCAAAAGTTCCCCACAGATGATGCTTTGCATTATCTAAAGTCTCCAAAGTCCTTATTTCTAATTCCTTTGACCTTTATAAATTAAAATTGAAAAATAAATAAATATAAACTCAAAGAAAAGAGAGTTTTCTGAGATAGAACTTTTAGCTGGTATATTCTTTAGAGCAGGGAACTTGGACTCCATGGATGGGCTTCAAAAGATCTATGAATCTTTGAAATTATATGTAAGAGCATATATACCTTTGTGGTTTTTTTTAGGGGGGGGGAGTGGAATAGGCCAAATCGCTCAGAATTCTAAAAGAGTCCAGGACCCAACCCATATTAAGAATTACTTCCCCTGTCCCAGTGTATGTCATAATAAAAGTGTCACTAATACCTAATTTCAAAAAGACAAAAAATTCTTTACTGGCTTCCCATCTATCTTTATTTAAACACAATTATTCTTAGCCTGGAAGGGAAAGTGTAGCAACATGATACATTTGACTCCCGAAAAGTCCACCAGGAAAACCTGTTAATCAAGCTGTTTATTAAACTTACAGCCATAAAAAAGAACCCTACCTCGATATTCTTAGCTCTTAGAAAGGGGACATTACGGGAGAATATTAATAGGGTTTTAGCGCATGGCTGTGTGATTTTGAAGCAGGTCTTGCAAGGTAAGGAACAGGTTAGGATTAGACAGTGATGTATGTCAAAATAGTGTTAAAATAGCTTTGGGTTAGCAAGTATAGTGAAATGATGGGATTGAAGAGTCTTGGTGAACAGGCTGTTTTTCTTTTTTTTAACCCTCACCCAAGGACATGCTTATTGATTTTAGAGAGAGGGGAAGAGAGAGAGAGGGAGAGAGAAACATCAATGTGACAGGGAAATATGGATTCATTCTCTTTTGTACGTGCCCCAATTGGGGAACAAATAAGCGACTCCAGCATGTCCCCTGACCTGGAACTGAACCAGCAACCTTCCATTTTATGGATGACCCTCCAAACTGTGCCACACCAGCCAGGGTTGATCTGTTATTCTTTCCTTTTTTAATTAATTCATGAATTTTTTCAAATACAATTGTCTCTGCCTACCCCCCACCACTTTCCCTAGCCCCCTCCCTCCTTCCCACACTCCCTCAACTCGTCCCCTTTAGTTTTGCCCATGAGTCCTTGCTATACGTTCCTTGACTTTCCCCTTCCCTTCTTTTTCCCCACCCCCCGCTCCCTCCCTCCCTCTTGTCTCTGTTGGTTTCTTCTCCTTTCAGTATTACTGGTCTTATTTTCCTTGCATCTTTGTATTGTTGGTTAGGTTCTGCTTATAGGTGAGACCATATGGTATTTGCCTTCCGCCCCTGGCTTATTTCGCTTAGCATAATGTTCTCCAGTTCCATCTTCCATCCATGCTCTCGTGAAGTGTAGTAGTTCTTTCTTCTTTCTGCTGCGTAGTATTCCATTGTGAAAATGTGCCATTGTTTTTTTATCCAACCACCTACTGATAGGCATTTCGGTTGCTTCGAACACTTGGCTATTGTAAATTGTGCTGCTATGAACATTGGGGTGCATAGGTTCTTTTGAATTGGCGTTTTGGGATTCTTAGGGTGTAGTCCCAGCAGAGGAATCACTGGATCAAAAGGCAGTTCCCTTTTCAGCTTTTTGAGGAAATTCCACACTGCTTTCCACAGTGGCTGCACCAGTCTGCATTCCCACCAACAGTGTATTAGGGTTCCCTTTTCTCCACAGCCTCGCCAGCACCCGTTTTTTCTTGATCTCTTTATGATGGCCATTCTGACCACA